CCAGCGGCTGTGCCCGCCGCAGGGCGCGGAGCCCAGCGAGGAGCTGCGGCTGGGCCTGGTGCAGCTGCTGAGCCTCCTGCTGCAGCGCTGCGGCGCCGCCACCGCCCCCTACCTCGGCGACATCGCCCGCGTCCTCCAGGCCGCCCTCCTCGACCACTATGCCGAGGTCAGGCGGGAGAGCTGCAGGTGTGCCGTGGCCTGCGCCAGGGCCATGCCAGGTGGGGCTGAGGGATGGGCAGCGCTGGGGCGATGCCATGGGGGCTGAGAAGGGACGCTAGGAGCCAACAGGGATGCAGGCAGGAGAGAGATGACAGGTCGCACGCACCCTCACAGGTGTGCTTTGCGGGGTTTGGAGGAACTGTTGGAGAAGAACCGTGCCAAGAGCGTAGGCTGAGCTGTGACATGTGGGTAGTAGCAGGAGGAGGGGCTAGGGGAGACTGTGTGGGCAGCGTTCAGCTCTGATACTGCATAAAGTTAAAGCTGCCTGCTACATAGACACAGCACCATTAGTCAGGCTGCTGTTTGTAGTGGTACAGAAATCATGTTGCTCCAGATCTGTCACATACAGAAAGAGACAGGATTATGGATCAGCATTAAACACCCCCCCAAATTCATTAGTCCTTCCAAAATCATCTTGTACTGCTGGTCCCAACAACTGTTTGGTGTCATGAATATATCGATGCTGCATAGAATCAGAGAGTGGTTTGGGTTTGAAAGGACTATAAAGATCACCTAGTTCAAACCCTCTACCATGGACAGGGATCCTGCCCACTATGGCAACTCACATGGTTGATGTTTCTGTCTTTCTGCCCTAACAGAGCACTTCCATATGCAGTCAGAGTCTCTGATAAAACCCCTAATGCAGACAATTTCCCACCAACACTACAGAGTTCGTGTTGATGTGATTCAGGCTACTGGAGCAGTGATACAGTTTGGGAATGGAAAGTCTGTGGATGATGTCCTGTCTCATCTCGCCCAGAGATTGTTTGATGAGATTCCCAAGGTGTGCTTTTCTTCCTTCTTTTCTTGGCATTTATTTTAAGTCTGTGTGAAACCCATCCCCATGGGGTGGGTTTCTTGGTGTTTCTTTCCCTGCTTTCCCTGTTTTCAGCTGTCTTGCATTCAGCTGAGATCTTTCAGTATGTCTGTCGTGGTTTTATCCCAGATGGGAATTGAGGACCACACAGCCCCTTGCTCACTCCCAGCCCGTGTCACCTGTCCTGGCATTGCTCCTTCAGCTGTAGGTGCAGCTCCTCACTAGCAGAGCTTGAGACATCCAAAAGTCTTGACTTAGGGTAAACTACACTGAGCAACAAGTAAACCTCAGTGTGTTATCAGCATTGTTCTCACACTAAATCCAAAGAATAGCACCATGCCAGCTGCTAAGATGAACTCTGTCCCAGCTGAAACAACATTCCACCCATCTCAGTTGTAATCTGTCCCAAACCAATGCTGGTGACTGCTGTCTAGTTCAGCAGGATGTTGAGGATTGTAGGCACCTTTTTGTTCTAATGGATGCCTTCAATTCTGTCTTAAATTCTCTGTCACGTCTCTCTGGGCCTTGATTCTCTGGCCTTCTCAGATGCTTAACAAACATGATATGGATCTCTTTATAAGATGCAACTGAAACAGTAATTTTAAAATTGATCTTTCTTTTATAGTGAACAGAGAAAATTTTCTTCTGGAGATGTACTTGGAAAGCTACAAATTCCAGAGAAATATACATTTCTTACATTCTCAGGAAGGAATTAACCATAAGAATTTAGTTTTCTGAGTGAGGTCTGTATCTTGTCTTCCTTTCAGAACTGGCTTTTGTGCAGCAGTCTAAGACTGACTAAGCCAGAGGAAAAAATGAGAATGTGATTGCTTGTGTGTTCCTTAAGATACTTCTTGCAAGTGAGGAAATGCTGGGTTCTTGTAATTTCTTCTGCAAGTGTTGATATGTTTCACCACATCTTATATACAGAAAGCAAATATTATTTTTAATATTTTTCTGTTATTTTCCTGACACCTTTTAAATGGTGTTTCGCTGTAGGTACGGCACGCTGTAACAACTGTCATTGGAGAATGGTTGTTGCACCTAAGAGACAGATACTCATATTTTCACAAGCTGATCCCTCTGTTACTTGGCAGCTTTACTGATGAAATTCCTGAAAATACGTAAGTGGAACATTTTGTCTTTTTTTCCCCCTCTTAAATAGATGTCAATGAAGTGTTCCTAAGTTCACAGATGTCTTGCTTGGAGGACAAAACCCCCACTTGTGTTTGTTAGTTAGTTAGTTTGTTTTTTCTTGGACTGAAAATGTTATCATTATCTTCAGTAACTTTTGTTATACTGTCCTTTTATGCTACATTGAATTAAATGTGAGACAGACAAAGACAGGGGGGGACAGAGACAGAATTATCCCTTGGGAGAAGAGGCCTCTGTCCACTGAGTACAAAAGAAGTATAAACTCTCAATTTAATGTGCCTAGGTAAAGAGCAGGAATGCTTCCCATCCTTCCAGCTGAATTCAAGTTGCCTTTTCCAGGAGTCTCATTTTAAAGTGTTTTTATGTGGGGACATGGTGGTATAAAACTCTTATTTTATGTCTAGGAAACTGGCTTGGACCTACTGGGAAAAGATAGGCTTGCAATGGGAGAAAGAGAATGAAGAAAATTTGAAGGATAAGATGGATTTTAGTGTTTCACCATCCCATTATCCCAAAGGAGGTAAATGTTGTGCTGAAAGTGGTTTTTGCTTGTGAATAATCTCCAAGAGCTGCAGTGCAGTCCTGATAGCAGAGCAGGATGTGTAATATTCATTACAGTATGTAATATTAATGTACAGAAAGGTAGCACATATAAAATATATATAAAATTACTTGAATTATTCCTATTAAATTTAAATTTTAAAAAGTGGTTTTTCAGTAACCTTTTGTTTTGGTTTTTTGGTTCTTTTTGTTAATTCAAAAATTCATTTTGGAGGAAGTAAATGAGTCTGCCTATGCTGAAAAAGAGGTAAAGCAGTGGTGCAGAAACAGCAGTAAATTCTACACCAACCAGCAGCCAGGTACACAGTGAGCACAGAAATGACTGGAAAGGAAGGCAGGAGGAAAGAAAACCTGTGAGCTAAGTCCTTGAATAATGAGTGCAGGTCATAGCATTAATGATCCACATAATTGGTGTGGAAGAAAAATTTGCAATGAAATTATTTCAGACTTCTCTGTGAGACACTGGGATGCTACCTAAAATCTGCCAGTGTACATGAAGAATGTGGGAACAGAGTAATTTCCTTTATTGTACACAAAAGCCCCAAGATATGCAGAATGGGTAGTTTACTTTTTACCACCATATGATTTATAGGTGGCTTTCAAGCACTGTGTTTGCAGTAGCTTGAAGCTTGTTTCCTGTCTTGGGTTCACAAAGTTAATGTTTAAAAATATGCGTATGGGAGTTGGGGGAAGAGAGAGTTTAACTGGCTCATTTATTGATTTCTGTACTCATATTTAACTGAACAAAAACTCTTTTAGTGTGAAAGAACAGGTTCATGCTTGACTTGTGCCTACATGACAATCACATCACAGAATACCCAGCAGCAAAATCCTTTCCATGACAGTGGGTTCCGGAGTTCTTTCTTCTTTGAAATTACACTTCTTTTTTTTTTTCTTTAAAGTTGTTTTACTCAGTAATGCTTGAATGAAAGGGGAAGCGCTTCATAATGGTGACTGGTTTGACAGAACTGTTTAGCTTTGAAGGCAGGCAAGTTGATCTGTCATCCTTCCCAATGTTTTTTCTTTCCTCCTTATTTTATATATAAGTTTACCTCAGGGGTTTGGAAATGCTGAAGAATGCTTTTACTTCCACTACTCATGGCAGAAGCATATTTCTTCTCTTGGCAGTCAGAGAATCTTTTAACAGGCATAAACTGATGAAATTGAGTGTCTAAGCTCCAGTCACTTAGTTTGCAATGATCATGATATAGTGAAGTTCATAAAAGGTTTCATTTCATTGTCCTTGGAACAGTGATTACCATTTGTAAGCTGATGGGGTTACCTTGGTCAGTTTTGTCTAGGTGTGTGTTGGGGTTTGTGTGTCTTAGCTGTTTTGGTGGAGCTTTTTAAAAAGTGACATCTACCAATTACTTCATAATTAAATGATATGTGATCTCCCAACTAATCTTCTTAGAACAATAAATATGCTTCATTAATTTGGGCAACATTCCAGCCCCACATTAAATTGAATTTTCATGCATTTTTCTTGATAGAATGATGCAGTTAAGGCTTGAATGTGACATGTAAGTATGTATTTATATATATGTGTACATCTAACTAAAGAATATTTTTTTTAAATGGCCTAATAATTTTGGACTTGAGTCCCAAGTTAATGATGACTTTGAGGTATAAATTTCTTGCTGTTTATCTTTACTTCCAAATGGTATGTCTTATTAATAGTCAGGCTTGATGTGACAAACAGAAGAAAAATCAGAGGAAAATATGATGGCTACTTAATCCTAGAGACAGAAAACTTTGTATCAGAGACACTGATGTACCTTATGTGGTGTCCTACCACAGACTGTATAGATGATTGTTATTATATGTGTCCTTTCTGTTTGCTGTCCATGAACACTTGGTTGGTTTGGGTTTTTTTTAATATGATAATGATATATTTTAGTACTTTGTTGCCATTTCTTGTAACTTTAGTGTACTGGAATATTTTTTTCCAATTGTGAGTATGTAGGATGTTTTACTTCAGTAGCTTTGTCCAGCTGTCAGACTAATGGACCTGCCATAGGAGCCCCTGCTTTGATCTCCCAGTGACAGATCCTGCAGGTCAGAGGGGGACCAGAGGGAGACCTGGTGTCATCCTGGCAACTGCACAGCTTGCACTGAGCCCCAGCACTCATTGCCTCAGGATACAGGTGCAGACAGTTTATAGCAGGGAAGTCTTTGACAGGAGTAGCTACAGGGATAAATGCCTGCATTTGAACATCTGAAATGAAGGAATTGCTGATAAAGAATGGTCCAAATTCTTCAAACAAAATTCTGCCTCGGGTTGAATAGGATGCCAGTCTATATTTGCTGTCTCAAGTTGATTTCTTTATTTGACCTTTTGCTACTCATTGTCAGCTTTCATAATCCAAAATGTTTCTTCCATTGACAAAAGACGCAGCAATTCATGTCCTGATGTTTGCATTTTATTTTCTTCCCTAGTTAGGTATTTCATAGGTATTTCTAAGCCTTTTGTATCCTCAGACCATTTATTTTAGTCAGTTTTCGTTTTAGCATTTGTAGTTGCACAGACCAGTGCAGGAAAATATCTTGAGACAGCTCAGTCATTTTCTTCCTGAGCATTTACAGGAGTAAATCTCTCTGTATCAGAGATAAAAAATGCACTCACACATTCAGTGTATTTTGACACCTCATAATGAATGATGTCTCTTTCTTAAAACAGCAAGTGAACATTGTGAGTGGTAATTATGAAATCATACTTCTAAAGAACAACTTTTCAGATTTTGTTTGAATAAACATATACAGTGTTAAGACAAGAAAATAGACTGTAGGAAAAAAATCACTGAAAAAGTTTATTGTTGTGTTTTGGGAAGGGCTGTCACAGCTTTATCTGTAAAGTATGGATCAGGACATCTATTAGATGCTTGTTGCATCTAACAAAGATGCAAGATATCAAGATATTTGTCAAGTTGCTCTTCTGAATCTCAGCGATTTATAAATTAACTAACAGGTAAATTTGATGATTGCCAAGACAGTACAGTAGGCATTTGTTGGGAAAGGTAAGTTTTTTAGTTCTCCAGAAATTTGTGTTCTTTTTTTGAGGCAGAGAATATATATTTGTAACACTTTTGGGTTCTGTTTGAAATCAAAAGATAACCTCAAAAACTTACTTTCCACAAAGTCATTACAAATGAAATTCAGTCTTAAGAAAAAAAAAAATGTACCCCCCCAACTGCTGTATCATCATTTTAAATGTACTACTCAATTTTTGAAACATTTAAGAGACACTTCAGAGAGCTGCTCTTCCTGGAAAAGCCTTAGAAAGGAGATTATATAATAGCTGTGATTTTTAAAACACTATCAATTTGTTGGCCTGATCTAGTACACAGCATCTGTACAAGCCATAGTTCCATTCCCTTTCTGCCTTTAATTTGCCAGATACACTTTTAACCTTTTCCTTTAGAGGGCACAATTGACATTGTCTGTTTTACTGCAGCCTCATGTCTTGTGTATTGTTTGTGCTTTCTACTTTTTCCTCTTCCAAATTGTATTTAACTCAGCATTTGCATACAAAAGTCTTTCTTCTGTTTATCTATGTGTGTTTCAGTTTATTTTTCATGATGCTTGTGTTGCTGTCAAAATTAAAAGACAATTATTGAGCTGTGTTTTCCAATGGGGGTAAAGACACACATTAATTTCAATTTTCTTTCCTTTCTTCTTCTGTAAACATTTTAAAACATGAACCCTAAGTCACCATTCTGTAATAAGTACATAAATATTCAAAGAGCTGTGTGGAGTTTTAATTCTGCAATATATATTAAAAAAATGCAGCTTGCACAGATAAATTCCTCAGCAGCATTTGGAATATTTTGTTCTATGCTGAAGCAAACTCCCAGAGCTCTTACCTTGCAGCTCTTAAACTTTTCTGAGGATTGTTATGCATTGGCTTTTCCTTTGATATTCCTTTTTGTGATGTTTTTGTTTCTTCTAGAGACTCGACCAGGGCTGGGTTGTCGTGAACTTGTGTCAAGAAACCTCTCCAAAATTCTCCCAGGTCTCTGTCATGATATGACAGACTGGGTGGAAAGCACAAGAATCAAAGCATCCCAGCTCCTGTACACATTATTGCTGCATGCAGAGGATCACATCACCCAGCACATGGAGCTACTGCTGAGAACTTTGTACCAAGCGTGTTCAGATGAACAAAGAGAAGTGGTTAGAAATGTAAGTTTGGTCTGTTAAAGTAGCTGTTGTACACTGAATAAAGACTTTATAGTCTTCAGTCTGTCTTCTGAAGGTTGACTTTACCTGAGGTCACTGGAAATTGCCCATGTCTGAAGGATCAGGCTCAGGTTTATATGGATGTTAAAAACACATGCACATTGTACTTCACTAATCTCTTAAAATAAATGTGTTCCTCTATCATTGGTATGAAGACCAATAGTAAAGTTATTTAAATACTGTTCGGTTTGTATGCCAATCCCATGAAGCATTGATAATAATCTCTCTGAAAATTATAAGCAGTGGATTAAAGTCTAAAAGCCTTGGGGCAAGAAATTCAATGTAAAAAAATGTGCAGGTCATGCCCTTTCAAGTTAATTTCACTCCCTCTGCCCCATAATCCAACCATATACTGAGGTATGTTTATTCCATGTGATACCCATGTTCAGTCTTTGAATCCTTGACCTAATGCTTGGAAAATGGCAGGGGGGGCTGGGGTTGTGAGAAATAATTAGTTTCATTTTTGCTAACAGTTGATTCTTTCAACACTTTGATCAACAAACCAGTGAAACAGATACAGCTGAAGACATAAGTTTAGCAAAAGAAAGGTGGTACAAATGCTTTTACAATTTTAAGAGAAAATCTTCTGTTCCTTTTTCTACACAAGGAGGAGGACATATGTATAACAAAAATATATCCACGTAACTTACTCTAAAGTTACAAATTTTATTGCTTTGAGAAACTGGAAGAATGTGTTCTGCTTACTGGATGCAGATAGTCCAACCCTAAATCAGGCTCTTCTGTAGGTGCCTGCTCTCAGCCAGGCTATAAGAAAACATAAATAATTAGGACAATAAGGCCATGAAGCCTTGCTGTCCTGTCAAATTTCCTATCAAGTGCTTATTGCTATAAATCTATATTTAAAAGTATGTGTTCAAGCAGCACAAAGCTGTCCCTTGCCTTTATTGACCATACTTGTCTCTTTCTTGGAATTGCATCACTAATCTTCTCACAGGTGCTTCCAAGAGATTTATTCCAGGTTAGGAGATGATTTCAGTATTTAGTTGTATTTTTCCTTGTGCCAAACATAAGATTCAGCAACTTCTGGTTTTGAGTGCCCTTTATCTCTTAGTGATGCAGCTTTCTAGAGTACTGTGATAACCTCCTCTAGTTTGTCACTGTAGGAACCCATTTCAGAGCAGCCACCAACTTGAAAAATGTCCATTTCTTTCTCCAGTCCAGTAGTACCAAACAAGACTCTTTCAATTTTTTTTCCCCTATTAAAGTGAATAAATTGATCCATACAAATGTATCAAATCATATTTTTTGAACTCTTTAGTTTTAATGTCCAGTTTTCAGAGCACTAATAGTCTTTTTCTTTCTCTGTGGCAAATATGGAGGAGAGTAGAGTTCTCATCTACACAGAGGATATTACATCTCCTTTGAGTCATGTCTTTGTGAAAGGAACAGCTCTGTATAATGCAAATTTAAATTGTAGAACTCATGACTATGTGCTTCCATTGAGACTAAAAAAACTAGCATGTTTCAAGTATTAATTAGGTGCAAAAAAAAAGTCATAGCTAAATCACAAGACTATAAATGGTAGAGAAAGGGAGATAAATGTTCATCTTTGAGGAAATGAGCCAACCATTAAATTAATGGGATTGGAAGAAGTGTTCTGTTGCACAGGTAGTGCTGCAGTAACTGATTGTTTCTTTATTCATGCACATGATTGTAAATATTGGGCATCAGTCAGGCAGTAAGCCCTGGTGTGGTGGTATTTCATGTGGAATACAACATCCTGATACATCTGCAAGGCAGGAATGGGATCAAAGGGTGTCACTGTCATAGGGAATACACAGTAATTTAAGCCTTTCCATTAAAGAAGTAAGATGGAAAGCAGTGGGCAGTTCCCCCATGGCATTGCTTCCACACTTAACCAGATCTGAAATGTCAGCTTCAAGGTATAGTACAATAACAAAAAATTCCTCCTTAAGGTTTTTATAGTTAGAGCTTTTAATAGACACGTGGTGATGCATTGAGGGCGAGCCTCAGAACAGCATTTGAGGGACAAAGTGCTAAACCACTAAATGTGCAACATCTGGTTACTCTAAATTGGAAACTTTATTACAGTGAAGTTGTACACTTTGTTTCTGTGCACTGCTTTCTCGTGGAAGTTTGTCTGATGTGGGGAAGGCTGCTTGCAATGCCTTATTGTGTGCTTACTGAGCATGTCAAGAAAATTTCTTCATGCATATAATCATTATTGAGTGAGTGGAAAAGACCTACAAGGCAACTGCTGAAGCACTTAAAATAACAGCTGGAAACAGAAAAAGGCCATGATGCGTTGAATGGTCTTTGTGCTTTTAGGAAAATCCTCAAATCATTCCTGTTCTTTTTTCAGAGTGTGAAAGCGGCAGAATTGATTGGAACGTTTGTCAGCCCTAAGGTGTCTTTGAAATTAATCACCCCAGCCTTTGAGCAGACACCCAAAGCATCCTGTGTGATGGTTCTGGCTGCAGTGATTCAAGGTAGCTCAAAAGAAATCTTACAGCCTCATGTAACCCAGCTTGGCAACACACTGTCACAGGCTGGAGTCTGTCAGCGATCTGAAGAGGTAAGGAAAGCTGCAAAACACACAGCAGGATACAGGCATTGACCAAACTTCTTTTTCACTTATTCTTCCTAAATGCTCCCATTCCTGTCTCTCCCTTGCACACCTGTCTCAGGATGTAGCTGTGGACATGTGTCTGGGACAAAACAGGAGCTTCCCCATTCTGCCTGGGCCATGTTGTGGTCTCCTGGGAAAATCTGCTGCTTTCACCAACTTACCAACAGTCCATCCTCTTAGCAGATGTAGGTTCAGGTTTGAGAACTGCTATAAAAGACTTCATGATGAAGAGGCAAGGCAGGGAGAGAAGCAGCTGCTCAGTAAGTCCTGTACTAACAAAGGTCTACCCTGGCTGGTCCTGAGGCAGAGTTTAACCCATGTTTTGAAATTCCTTGTGTTCACAAATCCAAACAAGATCATGCATTTCAATTCTCATCAGTAAAAGTGACTGAAAATTTTCTAGAGTCTATTGTAATTGGCATGGCAGGTTTCCCAAGATGCCCTCTTAGTGTTATCTGATTTTTGTTTTCCATTCTTATTTTTCATTTTAAAAGGCAGTTACCAGTACTTTATTTGTATATTTAGGAACATGTTTTGTAAACTTTTGGGCTTGGTTACTTCTCTTTTAGTGAAAGTCTAGAAGGAAGACCTTTATCAATTAGAAATTTACTTCCAAGTGTATCTTCAGGTAATAGCTGAGCCCAAAGACCATTTTTATTTTAGCATCTGAAGAATATTCATCAATTGCTATATAAGGAGATTCTCTTGACCACGGAATGGATATTTTTTAACCTGCAGGATTTTTTTTCCTTACCATGTTCAAATGTAGAAATTGATCTGTTAGAGATGCACAAGAGGAATCCCTGAAGTTTTCCCCACAAATGAAATCCTGGCTTTCATTCCACCAGAAGTTTGTTAGATCTCTGCTGTTAAGATGACCATAAAAGGGCCAGTGCTGTGCCTTGAGGAACTCTGACTTCATGTCAGATGTAGACTTCCCTTAAAACAGTTATTCATGTGTGTAGACTGAATCTGGCCTAATTGTCTTTTTGAGCCAATGTAAGAAATACATTTCAAGTTCTTCCCTCATTAGGTTTCTTCCCTAATGGAATATGTACCAGTGATGCAGGAATTAACCTTAATCTCCATGAAGCCTGTGATGAGGAGCTCATATAAGTGGAAGCACTATAACCTGATTGTTCAAATAACAATTCCCTGAGGTATAGCTGCAAAATTGCTATGAGGTTTAAGCTTACCACTTCCATTTGGCACTAGCTCCAGGAGTCAGATCCATCTGCTGCTGAAAGTTTGGCAGAATTGTTCCAGCCTTTAGTCTTAGAAAACAATCTCTATTTTAGCCAGCAAATGCTGCACTGACACTGTTTAGCTAAGGATTGACCATGTCCATGAGATTAATAACACTTATAGCTAACCTATTCCTAGACTTGATTTATTTTTTGGGAGTAAATTTGTAACAATGCCACCTTCTGTTCCCTGTCAGCTTCATGGATATCTGATGCACTTTATCATAGAAGTCATGGCAAACTAACTGACAGCAGTATTGACTTGAGCTGGTATCAGTTGGATCAAGATAACATGAATTATATGGCATCAAATGAGATAAATTGGCTGAGATAAAAGCAAAGGCTCAGTTCTTTTTGGTTTATGTATTTAGCTGTCATTGTTCATCCAAAACAGTCAAACATGGAATAATATTTCAAAGAGTTGTAACAAATATGTTATTAATTAACAAATTGCACTTCTGAAAGAGAAAGTACTATCAGCAAGCACTCCAAAATGCTTTGATGTTTTTATTCACTATTCACCAGTGGAACCATTGTGTGATTAAGAGCAGGGTCATTTAATTTGTTAACAGGACAAGGTAAACACAAACAAACAGTGTGGAAGGAAGATTATATTGTATTTTATGAAAAGTAGAATACAGGTAATTAGAAGAACTAACATGAAATTACCAATATGTTACCAACATGAGGGATTACACGGTGCTTGGATTTTATTACTGTCATTTCCCATATCTCTCCTTTAAAGAAAAACTTATATTTGCTAAGAAAACATAATAAATATGTCCTTTTTAAAATAAATAGGTCTTTTATATGGAGCAGTTGCTTTCTTGTGTACAAGCACTGATTGAAGTGTGCCAGGAGGACTGCAAAGAAATTAGCTTGCAGCTAATGAAAGTTTTGGTGACCATAATGGCAATACCATCTTCTCAGGACCTTAAAGAAAAGGTAAACTATGAGCTGGTTTAATATTTTGTTGTGTTCTTGTCTTTTCCTATTGTTAAGACACTTTGTGGAAATGGAGACATAATTATTTGTGTGGAGTATTTGTGGCTAGTCAGAGATTGTGCATCTCTGACAGTATAGACTGTGCATGCTTAGTACCAGAGTTAAGTCTGGAGTTGGGTTTACAGTTTGGGTCAGCAGAACCTGGAGAATTATGTTTCTTCATAACTTTGATTAAAAGCTCATAGACCTAAAATACATTCTGGTTCCAGAAAAGACCCTGGAATTCAGTTTTATTTTGTGGTCAAAAGCATCTTGTATGGGTCTGTAGCTGCAGTTACAACTGTAATTTTCTTTTTCTCTATGTGTGTTTAGGTTAGGTTTCAGAATAGATGGCTTGAGGTGGATTACTGGAGCAAGGGAATCTTAGGGCTGGATGGGGACAGCCATGGGCCTAGCAGAGCACTTTATTTGGGTGGGTATTAACCACCTGTCCACAGTTAGGTAAAGTTTCAGAACAAGCAGGGTCCAAGTTTTGATGTTTGTACTGGATTCTGCAAAGCCTTGGGCATGGTGGTGGTGCTGGTTGAACTGTTGATGTTTACTTTTTACTGTGAATGTTTGGTTATATGCAGGAAAAAACTGAAATTTATTTTCTGACTGTTAAAGAACAATTCCCTTAGGGGTCAAGAGTACTACTGGCCTTAAAAATGTGATGGTTTCACAGTGATTTTTTCATCTTTAGCCAAGTATCAGATTGATTTTACAGCAGCTGACCTTTTTACCTCCCCACAAGAAACAAAAGTTTAAATGTCACAGGAATGCTTTAAAATCGAGGACAGCTGTACATGCCCAGATAATAGATGAGCTTTTTTGGCTCAGCATCATCTCACCCCCTTATTTTTCTCTTCCTCTTTCTTCCCCGAGCTAAATATCATATAAATCAGCGAGCCATCCTCATGCAGTACAATTATGACCTATCCCAGTTGTCTTTTTTTCAAACACACACCTTAAGTGCAGTGGCTATTCTACTTCCTCTCCTCTTGCTCCCAGGCATGGTATTCCAAAGGCCTGTGTAGCATCAGGATTTATGGCCCCAGAGCTGACAGGCTGCCTCTGAGGAGGCGCTCGCTCAGAAAGCTCTTCGGAAAGATAGTGGAACAAAACTTGAAACAAGTATTGAAAAGACTTTGCAGGTCAAAGAGGGGTGGGATGATGATCTGTCTTATGGAGAGTGGGATCTTTGAGTGGGGGGGTGAGTTGGAGCTTTTGTTTGTTTGCTTGGAGGGTTTTTGTAGAAAAAAATAGCGGTCTGGGTAAGCCTGTGATGGATCTGGAATGTTTTGTGGTATCTTGCCTGTTTATCCCTGCAGTGGTCTGTAAAGTCAGCAGTGTCCATTTAAAACCTTACAACTTCATACTCCTACGAAGAAAGAAGTTTCATGGAGATAAACCCTGATTTTCATAAACAGAAAACTTAATCTCCTGAGATTATTAAAGGTTTAAGATGTTCCTGCAGTTCCAGATGATTTTTTAAGTTGACAGTACTTTGGATGAGAATCCTTTTTCTCATTAGCCTTTCTTTCAGCTAGACACATACAAAATCTGGCAGTGAGATTACATAATTGCAATATTTCAAAATTGTCACAAAGACAAATATGGTTTGAATTTTATTTTTTTCTCCTGTTACTGATTATTCCAAAACTTCAAAGTGATCTGTACAGCTTGAAGAAGGCAAGAAGTCCCTGTTAAAATAGCTTAGGAACATGTAGAACAAAAGTATCACAGCTGCTGTACAAGTATGAATATTTTGTTCAGAAAAGAAATCTGTATTCAGACTCCAAGATTTTGAGTATGAACATAAATTATTCAAAATTTTGCATTATAGAACTTTAATTCAGGCTTTATTGTAAGGGGACAGAAGACCACTGAGATACTGGAGACCACAATGGCTGTGACCTGGTGCTGAATGCTCAGGTCTGGCCTGATTTTTGGTTTTGTGTCCATCATGTTTGTGGTTGCTTGGGGCTGAGGGAATGGACTGAGACCACCAGCTGAGCACAGCAGAGGCACGAGGAGGAGGGTGGCTCACAGCCCCAAAGAGACTGAAGCTCTATCAGTTGGTGGAGTCTGTTAGGCATGATTTGAGCTTGTCAGGGATTTAATTGGTGACCTAAAGATAAGGTTTTGTTTCATTACCCTGTGCTATCCTGACTCTTCTTTCAGCTCACTGATTATTAGCAGGAAAATATTGTGTCGTTAAACTTGTTAGCTGTCAAATAAAGGAAAGAAATTTGCCTTTGCTACTTATTTTTATTTAACTGTAGACATTGCTTAATAAGAAAATATGCATAAGTCTGCTGGCATATTTAACTTATTCTCTCTTTTTTTTGTTTTTAATTGCATTATTGAAACCATGAAATTTACTTTAAAATATATGTGAACAATGTGTTATTTTGTATCTCTTGTTCAATGGAAAAAAATCTTGTGTGTTATGTGTTATAGTGGGATTAATAATAAGGAATAGTTTCTGTCCTGACACATTCTGTAAAATGTTCCAATTAATTTACAAGTAGCTTATATGTAAAATATTAATTTATCTGGGTTGTTTTGGCTGTCTGGCAGAATGCTTCCATAAAGGAGAAATCTATTGTGCTTGAGGTAGGCAAACCTGCTTTAAGAGTAACCTTTGTCCTCAGCAAATCTTGATTTATTTATTTTTTTCTTAGAATTCTCATTTATTTTCTCCACATCTGGTACTTCCATAAAAACATCTTTGTCTGGCAAGTGATTAGTCTGGAAGAGTCTAAAGGTCCTAGACATGTTTGAGCTAACTTGTGTGGTTGAGTTCAGCTTAAAAATATTAAAAATATGAGTACAATTTGTAGTTCTACTGAAGCACTTGGAGTCAAATGATGTCACTCCCAGCACTGCACTCCATCTTTCCCTGCTGGAGCTGGCCCTGCTGGCAGCACACGTTATTCCTTAGCGAGGTTCCTAGCGGTGCCTTGCTCCCCATTCTTGATTCACAGTCCACTGAAATCACCAAGACTACAGATCCTGCTTCCAGCACGCTTTTAATCTCTTCCTTGGAGAAGTTTTATACTTCTGGTAGGAGCCTTCAGGAACTGTAAAAACAAATTTTTGTCTGCTTTGAAACACATCTGCTGCAAGTGATTAGGAAAATCTATAGGCATCCTTGCCAAGCATGCTCATGTCTGGAATTCATTTAGTAGTTCTTTTTCCATGTTTCATTTGTACATGTTTTATTTGCATGTCTCATGGAATAGTCTTAACTCTAAATATGAAGAAGATATTTCTGACATAACAGTGAGTTTTGGTACTTCTAAGGAACAGGAGCTGAGGATTTTGAGATGAGCCTGCTCTCATGAATTATTACAAAGAGAGAGCATCTTTCATAATTAAAACTGGGGGGAGAAAGGGAAGAGGGGAAATGCCATGTCTTCTCTTAACTGCAACAGCAATAGTTTCTGGAAGCTGCCATGGCTTGGGATTGTGAGAAATTCCCCCATGTTTGTTTTAAAGCATTCTTAAATTAAGGAGAAAAATCACTACATCTTTAAAACCACTAAGAGCCTTTTTTATGATGTGGTTAGTTTTTGGATAGGTCTGCACATGGATTAGAGACTCTATCATTTTGCTGTTAGGTTGCCATGTTCCTGATGATTTCATTTTAAAATCAGGACAAATGTTTTACTTCAAATAAAAGTTAATGGATGTAGTATAAACAGGCATTAAATATCAGTCTTGATTGTTTAATAGAAACTATGAAAATCTTCCTGTGTCCCTTTTGTTCTTGCAGAATGAGTTTTAAAGGAGTTTGGGTTTTTTTTTTAATGGTTTCAGTTAAGTATCCTGTCTCCATTCTAACAGGTGGAGAAAACAATGTCTTCATTAGCTGAAGTACAGCAATTGGAAAGTTTTCATTGTCTCTACAAGCAGCACATAATTCAGCTGCTGGAGTGGATTTCAGTGTCATGTGAAGGGTGGAGCTGCTACTCCCCAGAAGTGCTGCAGTTCGAGGTCATCGCAACCCATTCAGGTACGACTCACTTAGTTCTGAAACAAATCCAGTCAGAATCTCCACAGCCTGCAGACAGCTTGTGTTTTGTAATGAGCAGTGTAATATTCAGAACCTTCACAAGAATGTGATGGAAAGCAAAAGAAATGTTGAAGCAGCTCAGATTCCCAAAGATTCCATGGCTGCAGGGAGAATGCTAAAAGCACTTAATGAAAAGTGCACTTTCAGTTGAATGAAATTGGTGAGGATTAAGGGGAGACAAACTGATATAGCTTGTGTCCAAAAATCTGTATTTTTTAAAAAATTCCATCTATTCACTAATTTTTTTTAAAAAATTTCACAAAAAATTTTGAAAATTCTATCTGTTCACTAGTCTTCCAGAGGACACCAGCTCTCTCTAACAAACACTTCCTCACTGCTGCTGTCCAGCACGTGGCCGTGCAGAGGTGAGTGGCGCACACTGGCGTACACATCTCACACACCTTCAGTCCTGCACAGTGAGCCCTCCTCTGCCACAGCTCCCCAGCTGGCATCTGCAGCAAGGAACATGGTGACAGGCAGTGCTTTTCACCTAGACACCCATTTTAAGATTATTAAAAAGTCCTGTTTGTTTGGTTTTTCCTTTCAGTTGGTTGTAAGGGAGATGGAGACAGTCACTTCTTGAAGTATCACTGTGGCTGCTACACATAGATGTAAAGAGGTATATTTTAAAGGAATGTATCTTCTGCATTTAATATTTGAATCTCAAAAATCCCCTCATCAAACCTATGTGAAGCACCCACTTGTTGGTATGTGCAGCAACCAGCATAAGTACTTTTTTAGTTTTCATCTGTGGAAAGAACAAAAAGTTACTTCAGCACAAGATTTGAGAGGCCAACTTTTCTGTATATTTGTGCTCCCATTTCCGTGACTGAGGGACTTCTAGACAGTTGTCTCTGTTTTCCTTAATGCTAAATAAATCATCAAATGTCTGGGCAAACATTTTGGCTTGCACCCAACACTGGTAATATGCTATTGTCTGTGTTTTCTGTCTGACACAGCAGCTCCTAGAGCTATTTTTTTTCTTTCTTTTCATTCCCACACATAATGTTGTTTTTAATCAATTTAATCAGCTCTACTCAATTCATATTTCTCAGTTTTTACTGTTTTTCAGGAGCGTATGCTTAAGCTGCAATTAGTAATGTAGTTTATTTTGTTTATTTTCCATCTGTTGAATTTGCTGTTATCAGTTTGATATAGTACTAGTATCTTGTGAATGTCACAGAACTCACTTGGAGCAATGTATCTTGAATAAATGCTGTGAAAATAAAGACCTATTTGTTGGCACAGACATTTAGCAAACAGTAGTTCAGCAACCTGTATTGCTTCAGTCTAGACAGTGAAGATTTGGGGTTTTTTCATTATTATTTTAAACATTAAATTTCCAGATATTATTAAATGCTATTGAGCTTGTTTTGGAATCTTGAATACTTCAATCTGTCCATCCCATGTGTAAGGAATATTCTTGTCATTATAAATACCAGTGTTTTGTCTCTCCTGGAAGGATTTTCTGAGTTAGTGGAATTGAATGGAATGTGCATCTTAAGGATGCAGAGCTGATGAAGTTCCTAAAGGAAAGCAGTTTCTTGCAAGAATAGAGCAGAAAGAGCATTCTACTGCAAGAAGCTTGCAGAATAAAGCGTGTGTACAGTCTTTATGTACTCTTCCTCTTTCAAAGCAGGCAGATGTTAATCATTATCAGGGAGAAAGGCACAAATTCCCTTCAGTTGTGGGAAAATAACTGTTGGGATAACAGTTTAGAGTTTTGTTTGTTTGTTTATTGTCTAAATTTATCATCATAGGATGTGAAAATATTAACAAACTAAAGAGTTAATTTAGAAGATATTTTATTTCAAATAGCTTCTAAAATACATCATATTTTAGATTGTCTTCTAAGATGAAAATAAGCATTGTTTAAACAGGGAGAAGAAATGCTGCTGCAGTAATTGTATTATCCAAGTTTTGAAGCTGATCCTTTCAAACAGGCCCTTTCCTATGCCTCCAGGAGTCATGAACACCTCAAATTCTGCATGTGGAAAAACTTGAAAGAAGAAGAAAGTGTAGTTAATGCTGCTGTGTCCAGAGGTGTCAGGGTCATGCCAGATCCAGTGTAGTTTTTCATTAAGAAAGCCAAAGCTTTGTGCATAGCCTCAGACTTACAGAGTTACAAGGGAACAGAATTAATCCTGCAGCCAGTTCTGCTACTGACAGTCCCAGCAACTCTGGGGTGTCATGGATAGATCCATTCCAGGGTCAGTAAATGATAGAATGACATAGGTTGGAAGGAGCCTTAAAGACCATCAAGTTTCAACTCCCTGCTGTGGACAGGGACACCTTCCAGTGTCCCAGGTTGCTCTGAGCTCCATCCAACCTGGCTTTGGACACTGCCAGGGATGGGGCAGCCACAGCTTCTTTGGGCAAATGTCTACAGCTATGCCAAGCTGACTGAATGAGATGTGGGGAACTGATCTTCAGGCTGCTCTGGCCAAAACTCCGTGGGGAGTTAGCCTGGGGGTTGGTGCGCCACCTAATAGGGTGTCCCATGGACACCTCAACAACTGCCATGCAAGAGTGGGAAGCTAAGGACTATTTTAACACCAGTTACAGTAGAAATTTTAATGCAGCTACGTATGAAACATCTAAATAGAACTTACTAGTATTCTGAAAAAAGCCTTCTGTGTTTGTTTGCTAGGTCCTGTCATAGGTGAAGCTCTGGATGATTTTATTCTCGTTCTGAAGACGTGTCTCCAGCCAAACAAAGATCCCCAAATGCGGTTAAAGATTTTTACTGTTTTATCCCAGTTGTTGCAGAAAGCAAGTGAAACTATCAATTCTCAGGGGTAAGTGGAGGTCTGATTTCACACAGTTATTTGAAAACCCCAGAGGCATTAAGAAGTAATGACCATGGGAGTTATTTAACCCCTATAACCATCTCCATGAGAGCATGGCTGGAAGAAGAAAGACTTTACCACCGTCTTCTACAGCCTATTCTTCTTGCTGTAATTTTTAATAATGATTAGGAGGGTAGAGTGCAATAATTAAAAATGTACATATAAATAAATGGAAGTCTTGACTTCCTTTACTGTAGTCTTCCTCCCTGTGCCATTATTGGGAATTAAAAGGAATGTCATACAGATCTGGATAGTTAAAAAAAAAAAAAAAAAGAAGATCTGTGGTTGAGAAGAACACTTGTTTGAAAGCTAAAAGGGAGATTCTTAGGAAAAGAATTGGGAGAGAAATTGTTTGGGTTTTTTTTTCATTTTCTCACAGCCAACTCCTAAATCCCTCAACTTTGCCTGTAGTCAATGTAAGGAAATAGTTACACACCCCAATAAATTGGCATTTAAAAATTCCCAAAATATTTAATGATGTTTGAAAAGCTTTAAACTAAATGTTTGATAAGACATTATTGTGACTGAAGATGTAAGTCTCCTGTTGCTTGGCAATATTTATGCATTACAAGTACAATCTAAGTATAACTGAGATGCTTATAAAACTCCTCATCTATAACAATGCCAAAGGGGGCCTCTTTTACCATTATTAATTTAGCCTGACTAATAGGAGAAAGTTTGTACTTGTGAAAAGTACAAACACTGAATGCATAAACCACATCTGCCCTACTTTTTACCTGCTGCATTTAGGATATAAATGTATTGATTATTTTTTTTAAAATTTTTAACTCTTAAAAAGCCTGAAACCAACCAAACAACCAATAAACCAAAAGAGAAAAAAATCACAGGAAACATTCTTCTTAAAAGCACTTAGATAGCAATGGTCACTTATTTATAGGTAAAAGTTTTTTCACAATTCTGATGAGCAAATTGGCACTCACTGGGCAGTTGATATGTTGAACATTCATTCTGGATCCATGATGCCAAGTTAATATGAATGTAGATTTATTTTTGCCATTTTTAGATATATTTTATATATTTATGGCCTGCATCCTATAATGAGGGGAGGAGGAGGAACTCTGGCATTCCTATTCAGTGGGGAATTCCAGGTAAGCTGTAGAACCTGTGGTGATGCAGCCCCTAATAGATTTTGAGCTAAAGTACTTAGGACTAAATAACGAAACTCTTCTTTTTTGACTTTTGTACAAATTGTGCTGTTGTCTGCTTCCATATTCTCAGGAGTTGATGTTAAATTCCTGATCCATATAAGAAATAATCTTTGTAGTCAGTGGTAGTAGTCAGTTACTTGTTTAAATAATCATGTAACTGAGTGATAGTTACAAGATTAATCTAAATAATCAACAATCTAGAAAAAAAGAAAAGCACTTCAAAAACTGTTTGAAGTGTTACAGGACCTGACTATTTATTTTAAACCAATTTGTATCATCTAACTGAAAATGCAAAGCCCTTGGAACCAAGAAACCCAATTCAATGAGCTGCCAGCTTCATTAATATTCTCAGGAAAGGGAAGAATGTTTCAAAGTAATTCAGTGAATGTGGGCACACACAGCCCCAGCTCTGCACACAGCAGTGATGGAAGTTGTTCTGCTCAGGGCAGTGTGAGTGAATGGCTCTTGTCAGGATGGGATAGATCCAGGAGGGTCACAGACCTGTTTGTATGAAGGATGGTCCAGTCCAGCTTGTAATGAGGCTCTGTCCTCTGACAACAAAAGCAAAGCCATGAATTTTACCAGTAGGTTTGTCTTCAAGACTAAAAGGCAGTGGAAGCAGCTAAATGCCTCTTTGAAGTCTTGAACCTGCTTACCATGGACGCAGCAAATGTTTTCATGTAGGAGGTAACATGTAGAGTTTCTGTGTTTGAAGCATTGTTTGCAAAACATTTCTGGAGATTTTGATTTATAAAAGCCAATCTAATTTTGTTTCAAATTACCTGGGTTTAGGATGTTAAATTAAAAAAACCAAAAAACCCAAGAAAAACATACACAGAAAACCCCAAGACACAACAATCCATAAACATATAAGGCAAAGTGTGGCAATGTCATAAAAGCAGAAAAGAAACCAATGCAAAATAAAAATGTATAAAAAAACAATTAACATGGAATGAAAGTTTAATGATGCAAGTTCATAAAACCAATTTTAATGCAAACCCAAGCTCTCTGCTTTGCACATCAGCTTAAGAACAGGGTATTAATGTCTCTGCAGATCACATTTTAGTTATCTCATATTCAGTTGAGAATGAAATATCAACTCTCTTAATACAAACATCCCAGACAGGGTATGTCTTTTCCTGGAAATGACTGGCTTTTAGAATTAAGTTACACAGATTTACAACAATGAGATCTGAAAACAGAAAGAGGGAGAATTTAATTGCATCAGCAACAGCAAAAATAAAATGGTAATGGTAATGAGAGATAGTGTTGGAAAGTAGTAGTAAGTTCCAGTTGCACTGTCCCATTCACTGCTGTCAGTAATTTGTTTAACTCCTTGAAATGGTTCTCAGAGTTTAGATATGAAGGCTTTAGATTATTATGCTAAACACAATTGTGTGGTCACCTAATTGTGTTTGAGTCTGACATGATGGAGTCAGATAATTGCCATATATTGCTTTACTGATTCTGTTTCAAGGCACTAGAACAAACATTCTCACAAACAGCACAGCACCATGGTTAACATAATGCTGATGGAATTTACCTTTGTGTTTTGACAGATAGTTTTCTCAATGCAGTTTAACAGAAGGTTTTATTAAAAACAGAAGCAGCTACTGATCAGATAGCACAGACAGCACAGAGCTGCTTTTTGGAGCTGAAAGGAGATTTGGAATGATGCCGATCATTAGTTTTACTTTTTTCTGACAACTTTTTTAACAGGAAACTATTAATGCTCAAAAATGTGTTTAAAATACCACATCTAAAGGTTTTTACAGATTTCAGTGTGTCTAATGGGACGTCAGATTTCTTGTTATTACTTAAGTGCCATCTGCTGACAAGAAGCAGCAGTGGATGGATCTCTTCTTCAGAGACTTCTTCAGAGTCCAAAGGCTCCCTTGCCAAGGGGAAGCAGCAGCCAGGTGTATCTATATCCACCGTGTTGCAGGTGTGTGTCAGCACATAACTGAGGCCTGGCAGTGCAGTTGCTCGTGCTTCAGTCAGGTAATACCTGGAGAACAGGGACTGCCTGCAGCCTGGATTCTTTTTAAAATGCTCACTGGTTGTTAACATGGACCTGTTATGTTCCTCCTGTGTCTTGGCACATCACTAAAGGGGTCACTCATTCACCCTGGCAGTGTAGGACTCTTAGAAAAGTCAGCAAGAGCTTGTTCCCTTTGTACCAAGCAGCAGGGTGGGGCTGTGCTGTTTGGCACGCAGGGGGCTGCAGTTTGAATAGAGCTCTGAACACAGTGGGACAATCAGGCTAGGTTCAGTCTGTTTGCACATTGCCAGCTGCTCTGTAAGGCAGGGGCACAGTGCATAACCTGAGCCTCAGTTACCAGCCACTCGTGTCTCTTTGGTGCAGCAAAGCATTAATTAACTTGTAAGACATATATTTTTTAGCTCTTAATTTGAGATTGTTTGAGCTGTAACTTAATGAGCGTGAGGGAATCCTGCCTGTTGTAATTGCTGACTCTCACAGCAACTTTTAGCATCATAGCAACTCATTCAATGGAAGAAGAGGAAAAAGCATCAGCAAAAACATCACAGATTTATGTGTTTGTAATAAAAACACCCTAGTATTGGAACTGGCACCATCAGAAAATCCTAAAGACCTCTCATGTTTGGGGGAGACAAGTTTCTGAGCCAAGAGAGAGCTAAAATATTCTGTGTAGGCTCCCTGCTGTATCAGGAGTTCAGGTGTCATCAATAGCATTCATACTTTTCACATTACAACTACTTTTACTGGCTGGTCTCATAGGGCCTCACAGATACTAGTGAATCCTCACACCATTGCACAGGGTGTTATCTCCACTGCACAGAAAGAGAAGGTGAGACACAGAGAAGGTAAGGAATTTACTGAGATAACACTGAGTCATGGTCATTGCCTGAAGTGGGAGAAAGTCTAGCCTCTCCTTTCTATGAATGTTAGGTATTTGTTTAAATATTATCTAGAAAAATCAAGTTTTGAAAAGCTTATCACATTGCCTTATACAATGTTAATTATTTTTTTACAAAGTCTTTTTTTTCCCTTTTCTGCCTATGTTTCTCTGACAGAAAATTCTCTTTTACATCCTGTCAGTCTCTTTATCACTTTCTCATGAACCTTTATTTTGCTTTCTTATTTTTGGCTTCAGGCTGTTCCCTAGCTACCTTGAGACTGTGATAAAAGACATCCTGGCTCCTAATCTGCAGTGGCATGCTGGAAGAACAGCAGCTGCCATCCGTGCTACAGCTGTATTGTGCCTTTGGGCTCTCATCCACTGTGAAATGCTTTCACCAAAAGAGGTAAATTGCCTCTTTCTCATCCTTTGAAATCTTAGGCAGGAAAACAAAATAAATGCAAGAGTAAAAAAAAAAATAAAAAAAATAATAAATTCTTTGGGTAAGTAGCATTTCCAGAAGAACATACAGTTTTCATAATAAAATTCATTAATTGTAATTGAATGTTCATGACTGAAACAATCACTAGTGGAGGGGTGATGGCATCCTGATAAGAGACCTGAGCAAAATGCTGAGGTGTAAAACTGACTAGCATCAAATTTTGTAGCTGTTGTTGTCTAACAGATCATCAGTTCTGTGTTCACTGACCACTATGAACACAACAATTTGGGGGCTTGACATTACTGGTCCTGCAGGCAGAGCCTGTGCAGCAGCACTGGAGCCAGCCAGGACGTGCTGTGCCATCATGTGGCAAAGACAAGTTGTCTGGTTGCCTTGGAGCCCACAGATCCATTTAGGGGGGAAAAAATAACTCATAGAGATTCTACAAAAGAACAGGAGGACTTGAAAAGGGACATGAAGAATATCTATAGAGGCTGGAGTGCTAGCAAGGAGAACACTTGAAGAGATGTTACTCACCCCTGATTAAGGATTAATTGAATCTGAGGGAGTTTTGAAGCTCCTTTGCTAACAAAAGTAGCATTTGGAACTTATGTACTGGAAATACGTTAGCTACAAGGTCATTTTTTTAAAATAAATTTAATTAAAATGTTATTAAATGTTCACAGTCTTTAGTGTCTTTATAACAGACCTTAATTGAACAAAGTGCTTAAACACATATCTGGTTGAGTTCACATATACAGAAATGTTGATATCAGAAACTGCTATTCTAGCCGAACATTTCTGTGTGAAATACACGGAATAAAGTCAAATTCCAAACCTCCCAGCACATCCCAGCCCGGTGCTTCCTGTTGGAGTCAGGCGCCATCTGCTGCTCCCTGTGCAGAGCCCTCAGCTCCGCCTTGCTCCAAGGCTCGACGATTTCAGGTTTGTTTTAAAGACCAGTCAGTTCTAAAGCTTTCACAAGCTTAAACATAAATGAATTACATGCAACTCATCTGCTTGTATACTGAATGTTCAGGAGCTGGGTGATTGTTAGATTTTCATTTTCCAGGCTAATGTAGAGGCAAAATTAGAGCTCTGTAACTTCAGGGATTTCAGGGATACAGCAAACAAGTGTCTGGCACAGCTAATGGTAAGTGCTGTAACCCTAAGCATATATTTTTGTATGTTTTTCCTATTAACTGTAGATCTTAAAAGTGAAAGATGAGCTGATGCCCCAAGTTATTGCTTCCATGGATGAAGACTCTAAAATTACTCGACTGATGGCTTGTCGTATTGTTGATGTTTTTCTAAGAGTCTGTGGGAGGCAGTTTGATGCAGATAAATTTAAGAACACTTACACAGGTATGTGTAAAGGTTTAGTAGACTTGGGGCAAGGGAGTTGTGGGTTTGTTTGTATCTTTAATCAAGACCTTAATCAAGATCACACTGTTGAAGAATTACATTTGCTTTTTTACCCGAAGTGCCATAGTTTGCTCAACTTTTAAGAGTTTGGCAGAACCGAGCAGTATTCCCAACGTCATTATCCATCAGACCACTAGGTGGAACTTCACTCAATACTTTGGTTTGTGCAGGGTTTGCCAGCAGCTCATCTGCATTGCTTCAGAGTTTGGACTATGTGAAATAATGTGCTAAGTATAGTGAGAGCAGAACAGTACTGCAGTGTATAAATGGAAATCACATTGTTCTCCGTGCTGTGTTTGAGAGCCAAGAGCAAACCATTTCAGTGTACCATAAATAGACCTGAATAGGTAGTGGGTTGGGTTTTTATCTAAAAAAAAACCAAAGAAGAAAACTCTAATCTAGAGTTTTGTATTGCCAATTGGAGCAGGGAGCTGTAGTGCCTCTTAGGATGAAATGCTAAACTATGAATCAGAAGTACAGAATATGCTCTGTGCCAGCAATATTATGTTCTTATACCTACAAATAAATATGGCTTTCCCTAACTCGGCATCTTAACAACTGATACTTTTTCTTACATGGCACAGTGGAAATCTAACTACAAACATTTTTATTTTGGAGAAATACATGATCAGATAATCCTCAAAGTATATATATGTCTTTGCATCTTGCATATTCATGTAGTCTGCAGTGCAGTAATTCACTAAAACAGTAATATTTAATAATTTAAATAATTAATATTATTTAATAATTTAATAGAAATTCTGTGCTTTATAAAGCATAGAAATACTTAAACTCTGTAGTTCTGTAATGCATAAATAGATATATGTAGTTCCTTGTTAGAAGGAGTGCTAGATAATGTTCAATTAATCTAAATACTTCTGTATATGTCCTCTATTAATGTTTGGACAACATAATCCAATAACAATGAAAGAGGAGCTTTTAGGAACAGTATGCTACATGTATTTATTATGCTCAAAAGACAAAAATACGTCAGAAATGCAATAATATTTTGGATGTTGACAGAATACATTTGTTTTTTTCAAATGCAAAAGCCAGCTCCTCTGTTCACAGAGCATTTTGGTTCTTGCTCCTTTTCAGAGGTTTTAAAGCGTCTGGATGATGCCTCGTGTGATGTCCGAATGGCAGCTGCTCACACCTTGGCTAATTGGTTTAAGTGCTTAAAGGACAGTGATGTGAAATCCTCAATGGAAGGTCATGTTGAGTTTCTGTACCAAGAACTGTTGGTACATCTCGATGACCCAGATGAAAATCTCCAAAAAGCAGTCCTAGGTAAGAATTTCAATCATGTATATTTTGAACAATGTTTTTTAAATCATCATCTTGAGTGTTCATGAAAGCAGCACATACAGGTAGAGGATAATCCTGCCATGTTAGAGCTTTTCTTTGGGTTTCAGTGGATGGGCTCTGATGTTTTACCTGTGTGCAGAATGAATGCTTTGCCCAGTGTTCCCTGTTCTGGTAGCTGAACTACCAGAGATTTTATAGATGGTAAACAGGATATGGAGCACAGCGTCCAGCCACTGCAGGGTGTGACCATATCCCAGCCTGCTGGAGGGACTCTCTGGAATTTATTAATGTAGCAGTCTGTGTTAAAGAACATAAAGGCCAAAATAAAGATCTCAGCAAATGTGGGAGGGAGGAATTGTGTTGTCATCACTGCATCACTTGTAGAACAATTTCCAGGTTTCTTTCAGCTATATTGAGGGAAGTTGGGTAGAGAAACACAAAGCAGCTACTGATTTATAAAACATATTTTTGTCTTACAGAAGTTTTAAAGGAAGGAAGCATTTTATATCCAGATCTGCTGGTGAGAGAAATTGAAGGGGTTGTACATAAGCATCAAACACCAGTCTATTGTAATCAGCTGCTACATCACATTCAGTCAGCCAAGGAATCAGCTTTCTGAATCACTGCTGAGATTCTGTTTAGGAAACTGATGTGAAATCTGTATGACCTAGATTATCTTTGTACTTCTGTTTGCTTAAGAAAGGCTGAGCTGGAAATAGATTGTTTCTTCTTTGTAAATTCACTGTTGGCTCGTTTGAAAGTGAAATTCGCAAAATTCTAAGTTCTTTGTAGTTTGAACATTCTTTGTATTTTCTAGCAATAAAACAGTGTTTTAATTCACTTTGCATTGGTTTTTCAGATACAAGTTTTAAAGAAGGAATGTTTTTTCAGGAATTTAATTTTTGGATTATTTAACAATTGAATATTTTAATGACAGCTAGGACTACTAATGTAATACAGCAAGGATTCAGTCTTTCAGAAAGCATTTCAAACTGGATAATATCACACTTCAGAGAGTTAGGTATGTGATGACCAGTTTTATAAGGAAAAAAAAGCAGCCAAACTTCTCTTTCATAATGCAGCAAAGTGTATAATGTTTTGAATATTCATATTTATGCTGATATAATATGGGCATAGTAGAATATGATGTAGAATAGATGTATAGTATGATGTAGAATATGATTTTAGAATGACGCTAAAAGAATAGTTTTTTGTTTTTATTGTATTACATTTCATGACTGAGAGTAAAACTGAATTTTTTTAATTAAGGTTTATACATGGGGAAAAGTGTTCTGTTTTGTCATTTAGATTACAGTATTTATATTTTTATACTAAATATATGTCATTTGCAGTTTTTATGTTTATACCGTTGTGCCTTGGAAAGCAGGCAACATTTGTTTGCATATTGCTTTGGAATTAAATTTGGTAACTAGGTTAAAGCTTGGTTTGTTTGGGGTTTTCTTCAATAGCTTTGTAGTGTATAAGTTTTGGTGTCATCTTCTATTCTCAGCTGTGTAATAAAATAAGGGAGCTCCTAGATGCTTGTCTACTCCATTGTGGGGTAGGGTGCTGGGGGTTTTTTGCACACACAAATCATAAAAAATCAGGATTCTGATGTGGGTTTTTAAAATTATCTGTATTACAGACAGAAAGTGCTCTTTGGCTTCTAATTCCCAAGTGCCTTGGCTTTGTGTCAAGTCTAAAAACAGACTCAGTGGGGGTTGTTCATACTCCTTATGCTGTAGGAAGTGCTCATGTTTGTTTGTCCATCTGACCTAACTTTACCTTTTCAGGCCTGTGACATAATTGTTAACCAACCCATTATCTGTTTACAGCTCTGTCTACTTGCCTTCCCAAAGAAACATTTGAGACAGATTACACACACAAGACAAGTTTTATTCCTGGCTTAAAGACAAAGTCAAACTTCTGGCCACTTCTCTATAAAACATTGGGTTGCTTTGAAAATTCTCCAAAAAGGGACAATAATACTAATGATACAGAATAGTTGAGGAGTTTCTTATGGATCCAAAAGCTATTGTGCATTCCTGTAGAATAGGATACTCATTTTAGGTCCTTTGTATATCTTTGAAGTTCAGCCTTCTTTTAATGAAAAGCCAAAGTACAGCTGTTCCTGTACTGAGCAGAATTTTAATTGACTAAAAACTATTAACTATTTAACTCACTGTAAGTGGAGGGACAGCTAAAACTCTTACAAGGCACAGTGTGAGTGAAGTAAAAAAATCCCTAAAAAGCATTAAATAGAGTGAAGAGGTTGTGGAGTCTCCAGGCCTTGGATATATTAAAAATCTGACTTAATACAGCCCTGAGAAACCTGTTCTGCCTATGTCTGTTGGGCAGGAGTGGGACTACATACAGCATCTCCAGGGCCCCCTTCCAGCCTGACTGTTCTGTGGTTCCATTAAATTGTTTCCTTAGTCTAATCAATTATTAAAAAGCCAATTAAATTAGACTGGAAATAGACTCTATAACTATCCTAGCAGAGACCTTGTTCTCAAAATAGTCTTTCAAAGCACCGCAAAGCAGCAGGTTCCTGCAATACAACCTAAAGTTTCACTTCAGCAGCAAGAACCCAGTTCTTATGTTAAAGTTCCCTTGAAAGTCCCCTAAATAAATCCTACTTAATGACACTACTACAGGCATGATATTTTTAGCTTCTTATGTTGACAAAATTTAGATTCTTTACCACTGATTAACAGCCTCATGATGGCTGCAGTACAAATGTTGGTCAAGTGCTTTTAATTACTCTTGTGATCTAAAGCAGAGATGTTTGCAAACCCAACTTCAAATGAGGGATGAGAGAACATTCTTGGTTGATGTGGAATCTAGTCAAAGTTTTTCAAGATGTTCTAAAGCTGGCACACAAATAGTAAGAGCTGAAGTATTCATCAAGCTTGATATCTTCAGTAGGCTGGGAACTTTTTTTTCTTCCATATGTTGAACATTTTGTTATCTTTCAGAGCAGTCCGTTGTGGGATGCCTCACAAAGAGAAATCTCCACATCATCCAACAAAACAGCTTTTTCTTCAGAGTCAGGAGAGCTTGTTAAAATGAATATTCTAATAGTCCTTGTGGAAAAATGCTAAACACCAGCTTGATCTTGTTTGTGTGTGTGGCAAACTGGGGATCTGCCACTACGTCCTTTTATTAAGCCATAGGACATGACAATGTGCTAACCTTGCTTGTAGTTCACCATATTTCAACTTACATAACCCAAATTTCTTAAATCCCTTTACAAAAATGTACTGAGTCACCTGTGGATGGTTTATGAGTCTGGATTTTGAAGTCATTTTCAGCTTCAACCTTTTATTGGATCAGTAGGAACTAAACTAAAATGTTTTGGGGTTTTTTTCCTGTTTGGCCAGATCAGCTCTTATATTTTCTAGATTTAGTGCACATTATGGAATGTCACTAGCACCATATGCATTACGTTACTTTTAAGCAAGGGCAATTTTGGGGAGCAGAGCTGTTATCTCAAACTTCCAGGCTTTCAGGCACTTTAGATAAGCAGCCTTTAGCCCTGCCCTTCCTGTGACAAGCAGTTGTGCCTCTGTCTTCGTCCTTGTAAGCCAGAAGACCTGTTGTGGAGCATCCTGGGACTTGGATTCTCAGCAAAACAAATGTTTTTAGGTAAGTGCATGCATTTGTCTAACTGAATATAGACTCTTTTATATATTTGTTAACTACCTTAAGTAGATTCAATTAATTAGATGATGAGAGGACACGGACAAATAAGATAACTAAAGTTTGATACAGGGTCTACATCAGAGAGCATTTTAGGAGAGGCTGGTGGTTAAGTGTGTTCCAGATCCATCCACTTCTTATCCGTGTGAGTCCATACAGGCAATGTGCAGATTTCCTCAGGAATGCTCTGGCAGATTGCAGACACTCTGCAGGTGTCCAGCCCTGCAGGGTCATGTGAGCCCACAGGGAAGGTGCACTAATGCACCTCTCTGCTTGTGTCAGCAGTCTGCTCCCAGAGACTGACCCCCAGCTGTAACAGCAAAGTTATTACAGGCTGTAATAACATATCACAGCTCTAATCTAATCTCTACACAGAGAAATTTAGCTATTAAGGTATAATAAGTTAAAACCAGGAGTAACCAGAAGGAATTAGTATAGTCCATAGTACTATTTTACTACATAGTACTATGATAAAACTATCCAGTTGTAGTACAGTATAACCATAATAGGTATTTATGTCACTATAAGTTCTTTTATTTATTTATTTATTTATGTTAAATAAATTGTACTATAATAGTTCTGTATAGAGAGGTTAGAGTTCTGATGGGCTATTGCACAGGCTTTACCTTGCTGGGGGAAGCCCCTTGTCTGAACCACACAAACATACCAGAGCACTGCCCCAAAAATAAAGTAACATCTTGGCTTTAGAAAGCCAGCTGCTGGCTTGAGAGCAGCCAGGTTTCTGTTCCATTTGCGGAATCTGTGTTGGGATCCCTACAAGGGAAGGTGATCAATTGTTTGCCAGGAGAGTGGATCAGAGCTGGTCCTCCTGGATACATCATGGACAACTCTGTGTCTCAGCTCTCCTTGTGAAGCTCTAACCATGTTTAAAAAAGAGAGAAAGAAAAATAAAAAATCTTCATTATTAGGCATCTGAAGGATCAGCAAAAATTACAATTAACAAGCTTGTGTCCATTTACTGGGATCAATCCCCCAGAGAAGCAGGAGCTGAGCTGAAGCAGCAGATGAGAGCTGTGAGGAGAACGGCTGCTCTGCCGGCCTGCCTTGGGTGTAATCGGCTTTTCTTGTTAATGTCTGAAATCCCCTGTAAGTCAGGACCACGGAGATCTAGTGGCAAAACTGATCTGAAGTGCTCTGGATCCCTCTTTCCCTCATAACCCAATTGCTCTGGATGCAGCACCCATTGCCTTTGGCTGAGGTGTGGGGAAAGGTCCCTGTTGAGCTTAGCCATAAAGGGATGCAGATGGCGAGAAACCTTTTCTTTAATGAGCAAGAAATCAGATTTACAGATATTTTAGGTGATTTTCATACTGCTACATATATATGATGATCTGCCCATCCATGGGCACAAAGGTCACCACCACTCCCATCCTGTGCAGCAGCATGCCATGCCCAGTACTACCATTCAGAAACATCTTGCTGCACTGGTTCCTGCCACATTCAGCCTGAACCTTCAAGCACTGTGGGGATTTGCCCCTTCTGGTAGCAAGGACCAGAATGTGGAGCAGAACAGGTTTGCTAGGCATGACTGCAGGAGAGCACTGGAAATGGGAATCATAGAGGGAAGGGAGTGGTAATGAGGGAAGGAGAAGTGGAAGTGGAAGGGGAAGGGGAAGGGGAAGGGAACTAGAGAAATTTAGTCCTTGGATTAGTTTGGCCTTGTATTGCAGTTTCCCCATACCTGTTGTCAGTTAAGAAAGCTTTTTATTTTTTTTCTCTAAATACTTAACTGCCCTCTACAATGTTAAAAATTGAACATTTTTAATATGGTCAGTTTGTATTCTTACTGGCCATTTTTCTCTACACTTCAGCTTGGCCAATAAAATCATCAGCCCACTTTACATTCAGAATTTGTTAGATGCTGAGAAACCTTGAAGGAATTTTTATTTGCCTCAGAGCAGTTTCTTCTGAAATGTGGAAGAATTAACTCCCTGTACACACCAGCTTGTTTTAAACCAGGACATCTGACCAAGTTCCTATTTAATCCTGGAAACTTAAAACCAGCTCTATTATCTCTCATAGCTGAGGAGTGTAGGGAGAACTGAACTTCAGCATCATCCTCCATCCAGCCTCTTGGCCTGGTTGTGATGGAAAAACAACTGCTCAGGACAAGTCAGAGCAGCCCAGGAAGCTGGAGTAGCACCCTGGGAGAATGGCATGCCATGTCCTGCCAGAGCTGAGTGCTGCCTGCCCTGCCTGGGCTCCAGGGGAACAGGGTGGGAAACATCCCTGAGAGGGCCTGGCCTTACACCACCAAGGAATTTTTCAAGATTTAAACTAAGAGGTGATTTTGCCCTGAGAATCTTAAGCCTTTAAATATTATCTACTCTTAAGATAAGAAAACAGGTGTGGACTAATTACAGAAAGAGGAGTGGCCAGAAAATTGATTCTGCAAAATACTCAGCCATATGCAGGGAGGAGGAGACTGGTGCAGTGCTGCACATCTGACCAAAACAGACACTGGCTTCCAAGTGTCACTGGGGTCAGTTCAGCTTTGGCTGCAGCATCTTAAAACTGTCATGCAGCTGGAACAAAGCACTTCTAAAAGAAACAGGAATTGCCCAAAATCAGTGCTACATCAATATCAGCTAATACCTTAAGTGAATGTGTTTATCTTGCATTTTCTGTTTCTTAAGGATTAGCTGCCTTCTCTCATTTTGTATCCAAACATTTGGATTATTTGATAATTACATATTTATAAGCCAGTCTTTCACAGCAAGCTGAGTAATTTCTCTTGCACACACAAGTAAATAACAATTTATTGTCTGATTAGCCTTTCCCAAGTGACAAATTCCCTATTGTGTTCACTGACAT